GTGTGGAGAGAGTCTGCTGCAGTTTTATCCATTAGCAGCTTAAAGTTGTGAGAGTGATTCTTCTGCTTCTTTTATCATTAAGATGAATGACAACAAACTAATTCAAAAGTGAGCTGACAAAAAGGTTAGGTTTAATATAGAAAATCTAAAAACAGATGCCCTTGCATGAACTGAAAGAACATTTATCCGACTCACCGACTAATGAGGCTTCTTTGGTGGGATCACGCAGGTGCCAACATGCTGCCCGATGCTGCGGTTTTACCTCACCGACACACCAGTGAAATGAATGCCCCCTTTGCCCCCACCTAGAAGATGAGATAGTAACTGAGATAAGAATACAAACCACATGAGTGTGTGCATATAGCCTGCCAGGCAGACTCTGTCTATTCTTTATTAGCAAAAGGAATCAGTGGATAATTCTAATATTAGCATCACTTTCATGTACTATTTTCAACAATGCGAGCAGTTACATACGGAAGAAGCAGAAAATAATATATATATTTATATACATATATAAATATGTTTGATATAATCAGATTTTCTTTGTTCACTTTGCTCTTTGGTCTCCAGCTTACAGCTTTTTTTGTAACCCACTATTTTAATATTGCAAACAAAATGATGAAAGAAACCTGAAGGTGCACATAAGAAAGCCGTAATACAAATCTATGGTGACGGTATCTTCAAATACATCAAGTGCATCATCAATAAACGTATAAATTCACATCTGGTAGGAATATGCACATTAAGAAAAGAGCATGCAAATGAACATAGCTATGTTTAATTTTCATTTGAGTTTTGCAGATTAATGTTGGCCAAAAGAAAAAACGTTGTACTACCTTTAGGCTCGTAATGATTACCCCAGGTCAATCTGAAAGACTCCACTTTGCATCTAAGTGGCTTCCTCTTAGTGTTATTAGAAAAATACCCATCTCGTTTTTCAACTCGTGATGCTCTATTTGCATAGAATTAATCTCTCAAAAGACATTTTAAAGGCAGGCTTAATCTGACGTGCCTCTGAAATATCTTACGTGCATTTGCATAACGTCTGCCTCCTGCTCAGGTGATAAAGCAGTGCTAAGCTGGATTACAGTATTTGGTTCTGTAAGTGTGCGGGTGTGGGTGTAAGACTGCGTACCTGCTGGTGTACCTGAATATGTGCTGGAAACAGGATTTTTTTCTTTCTTTCTGTTTTGGCATGCCTACCAACTGCCAGCAGGGCCAAAGAGAACACTTTGCTATGCCTGACTGACATGCTACTCATGTGACCTCATGAAAGTACAAATCCCTTCAAGCAGTGTAATAAATCATTGGAGCCAGGTCTGGCCCACAACACTTGGATGGATGCACACACACACACACAGTGCCAACCATGATATAATATACTGAAGCCAGTTTAGTCTTAAACGCTACACCTACTTTTGTATCCGTGACAATTTAACCTGCTCCAAAAGAGCTTAAACCTACCCATCTAACAGTTTGTGCCAAAACACCAAAATAAAGACTACTTTTGTATTTTGCAACAAAAAGCTATTTTAGTATTAGAGCCACGTCAGCGACGCAGTAAAAGCCCGCAACACTGTACAGTTTTAAGTGATTCGGCTGTTTAATACTCCAAAGACGCATCATTTTTCAGTGCTAACGGGTCACTTCACAGTTACTGTAAGCACTATGAGGAAGTAGACTTCCTACTTTCAGGAAACTTTTTTTCTTCTCGGCTGCTATTTTAAACCAGGTCACCTGCTACTGCTGTGAATTCCACTTTATATAACACGACTCCATCTGACAGGCGTAGGGCACCTATGTACCCGCAGTTCTTGGTAAAAATGCATTACAGCATCTTTTTAACAACAGTGCCCCTAATGTTTTTTTTCTTCCCTGAAAAGAAACAGCAAATTCGATTTAAATTTAATGACTTAATGGCTCTTAAACAGGGCACTCGAATGGCTTCCAACAGTAGCGAAGCGTGATAGTGACAACTCTGCTCCTGTCATTTACGCAAAGTTAGCCTTCCTCACTTATCTGTATTTAACTGTCTTTGCCTAGCCTTTCTACGCATGTCGCATTTGTCGCCGTCACCTTTAATTTGCATCAGTGTGCCACCTGCGCCTCCTGCAAATTTTTTTTTACAAATGCTCCCAGTAATTGCAACAAGGCATTGAGTAGCATGTTGAAAAAGATCTTTCATTCTTAGTGCCTGCGATCTCATTTAACACACTTAGGGATATATGTGATGCTGCCAGCAGGGACAGGAAATAAAAATGAGGGTCTCAATCCTCCTTAAGAACAGAGCGTGTGATAATTTGATCTCAACACGCTTCCCCTACGAGTGTATTTGATGAGTTCATTGGACATGTGGAAGAATGTTCTGGTGTGCGCTGGCCTCTGCCCGGGGAGCAGTAACTCAGAGCAACACAAACGCTCCAATTACAGCTGGACCCGCAAGTCCTCCGGGGGAAACCACGGGACTGTTCATTGATCTGAAAAACACCGCTGTGATAGAGGGTAACTTGGCTTCACTTCCAAAGGACATGAACTGTACTTTTAATTATCCCAGCTGGAACGTTATTATGATGATGATAATGAGAGAGACATCATGATTTAGCCGAGTAAAATTCAGCGTTTGCAGTCGTGCAAACTTTAGTTAGTGCAGATTAAAGCGTTAGTGTCACGACACGGCTTTATAGCATAATTATGCACTGCAATAACGCTATTTTAATACGGCAGGTGATTCTGAAGATTCCGGGTGTTTGCAGGAGCAAATATAGTGAGAGGTGTGAACAGCGTGCATCACACAGTCTTCATATGAGAACAGCTTTGCTCTTAAAACTATAGAGCAGCAGCAGTGGAGATCCCTGTACTGCAGAGGGCACCGTTAGCATGCTTTGTGTGTCATCAGCCCAACATGGTAGCCTACTGACAGCATGAGTGGAATTAATCTCAAGCTGTTATTGAATAAAATTGCATTAAAAAAAAAAAGAAATATGATTACAGCACTCATTTAATTTTTTATAGTTTGTGCAACATTCATCCCGATTCATAATAAAAGTCAGACAAAGAAGAAAAATATTTGCTACAAGTGTGCAATGCATCATGTCCTGACATGTATTCTACCTTTATCTTAATCCATACTAACATCATTTATTTGTCTGACCCCTGATTTGATTTCTGTGGGTCGACATTATTATTCTCCTGCACTGCTGACATTTGAACGCTGGAGGTAGAAAAAAAAAAAAGAAATCCCCCAGTGGAGTGGCTGTCATCAGTGGAGTTTCTCAGATTAAATAACACAATTGTAGGGTTTGAGTTTTTGTTGTTGTTGTTTTCTTTTTTTCAATCTTACCCGTTTGGAATAATCAGCTGCGATTGCTGCCTCGGACCAGAGCGACGAAAGAACAGAACTCCTCCGAATTTCCCTGCGGGTAAAGAGACAAAGAGGTCAGGACGTGTCACGCTTTAGTCCATTCACCACTAAACACTTAGATCGGTGTACCGAACGCCAGTGCTGAGTTTGCATACAGAGTCACCGCACCGAGGTGAACGGAGACGAGCATGAGCTGGCACACACTGTAGTGTCTTCACGCTGATGTGTTATCACCGCAGCCCTATTAGGTTTGTAAACATGCTTCATGCACTTTGAGAAAATGACTTTCCATTGTGCATAATGAGAGCTGCTAAAAATAAAACTCCTGCATGAATGCTGACAGTGTCTGCACCTTTTGCTGAAGACAGGATGGCAGGATGTTTGGTTATGTCTGCTTGGAAGTAATAATTTCTGACAGTGCCTTGTTTTAAAAAGCGTGCAAGAAAGCATAAGTATATGCTTGACACACACACACACACACATACACACACACACAGCCAGTTATAATGACATAGTGCATGTAGTTGGGGCTCTAATTGAATGTGGTTTCAGGTTGTGTTGTGAAAAGGGACACAATATCCAAGCAGTATAAAGGCTGATTTTCATTCTTAGGTAGAGGCATAAATATTAAGTCGTCTACGTTTGCTTCAGTTAAGTAAAACACGTGCCCTCAAGATTGTCTGACTACCCTCAGATGTCACAGTGGCACAGGTGATTGACAGATCTCTGGCTGTGTTTGCCTCCCGTGGAGAAAAAAAACACCCCACACAGATAACTGGATGTTGGTCACCGCAGCACAAACGACCTCCCCTATCCGCTTCAAAGCGCCACAAACGTGAATCTCGCTTGACTTTCTGCATCTGCAAACCTACTTCACATCATTTCTTTTCTTCCTCACACCCACTTTGCATATCAAGTGCCGAAGCACTTGATATGCAAAAATCATATGTTTACTTTTGAGATCAAAGTTTCTTTCTCCCTCCCCTTCTCCATTTTTTCACCCCCATCTAAAAATGGACCCGTTTCATTATGCAAGCCAACAAAAGGCAGCCTCTGCTCGCGCAGCCCATTCCAAGCATACTGATTAATTAGCTTGTATAATTAGCTTAATGATTTAGAGAAACATGGCCAAGGCCACCCAAGTAGCTATGCTAATGGACCCCTGTCTACAGCAATTAAAATGCCCATAACTTAACAATGGTGGTGTAGAAGTCCACATAAGAGCTGTTGAGGAAAAAAAAGTAGTTGCAGTAATCAATGCAAGCATCACGTTAGCTGGCGCTGTGGTAATGAATACCTTTGCACTTATCAAATTGTGAAATTGTGTTGCAAGAATAGCATTTGTACACATGCGGACACCGCTGGAACTCTAAGTGCTAATGAAGTGTTCTCATTTGTCTCTATGATGATTAGTTTTAGCGCCGGCGGTACACTTGGTGCATTTATACCGCAAATTAGCCCAGAGATGTGTTGCAAGACGCTGAAAATGTGAACCCTTCTCTGGTGTCACGCAGAGCAAATTTATCGTCCGTCTGCCTTATTACGCCTTTCTATACAATTTCTGTCTGCCAGTTATGCTAACTCCGTCCCTGTGTGAGCACATACTGGAAAGTGAGTGAGTTAGGACATGCAGTTGTGGACTTTATAGTTTCCATTAAATGGGAGTCAAACCAGACAGTATCTCTGCTCTCTGACAGTAGCATCAGCATTCCTGGCTGTACTTCAGACATAAATCGCCCATTTATGACCTTCCCCCTGAACAGTAACCAACAGAGACACCAGCTCGTCTCATAAAACCACCAGAATGTTGAACGAGAGAGAGAGAGGTGAAGACATCACTTCCATCGATACACTGCTTCTAAAATGCCAGTCAAGTGGGAGCAGTTAGGAAAAAAAAGAAACTCAAATTCCTATTTGTATATTCTTTTAGTGCTATGACTGAATGCTGGAAAGATCTCACCTAGTCATAAATGACTGGTAATACACTACGCACTGTGCCGCTGACAAAGCAAAAGGAATCACGGCGCCATCGAGCTTGTATAAGCAGAGCAGGAAATGGACTGGGTATGGAGGGTGAGCTCAGTTTGTTGCAATATTAAAAACCAGTTCAGAGCTTCTGGTGAAATCTGGCACCAAGATACTTTAGAAAGGCAGACTAAAATACATTTTGATGCTGAATGCAGGACTAGTTAACGATTTACAGACCAGTTATGATATTTATACATTTATAATTTAAAATGTGATATACGAGTTGCAACATCAGAAACATCAACACTGATAACTTGGTAAAAGTTGGTTTTCTTTACCTTTTAAATTTTCATTTATTGCTAAGAATTGCCAAATCGACGCTATCGGCTGATAATATCAGCCAGCTATTATACATTATATCATATTCACCCATCCAGTTCATTGAATTCAAATGTTGGAATCACTTCCACACATACATATAAATCATACGCATTAAGTCAAGCATCTAGCCATGCTGACTGCTTCTACAAACATTTGTGAAACGATGGGTCGCTCTCGGGAGCTCAGTGAATTCCAGCGTGGTACCATAACAGGATCCCACCCGTGCAAGAAGTCAGTCATTAAATTTCCTTGCATTGTAACAGGTGTAAAGTTTGCTGCTTTACAGGAGCTGGGCTCGACCCCTGAGTTCTAGTAAAAAGAACTGCTTCAGCATACCAAGACATTTTGGACAATTTCATGCTCCTAACTTCATGAAAACAGTTTGGGGTTGGCTCCCTCCTGACTGTGCACAAAGGTGCACAAGCAAGTCCATAAAAACATGGATGAACGAGTTTGGTGTAGAAGAAGTTCACTGGCCTGCACAGAGTCCTGACCTCAAACAAGCAGAACACCTTTGGGATGAATTAGAGCAAGACTTCGGGTGTCTCACAAATGCGCTTTTGGAAGAATGGTCAAAATTTCCCATAAACACTCGTAAACACGTGGAAAATCTTCCCAGAAATGTTGAAACTGTTATAACTGCAGAAGGTGGAACAACATCATATTAAACCCTGTGGATTAAGAAGAGGATGTTGCTCAAATTCATATGTGTGAAGGCAGACAAGTGAATTCATTTGGCAATATAATGCGTCAGACGGGCTCTAAAACTATCAAATAAATTAAAAGCAATATAAAACAACAATAAGAAGACGAGGTGATGAAAGAAAATAGGAGACGGCATAAAAGTAGCTCAAAGTGGAAGCATTGAAAAAGCCTACTTATAAAAATATGTCCTTAAGAGACATTTAAAAGACAACCAGGCTCTCAGCAAGCTGCTCTCCACAGGGAGATTCTTCCAGACAGTGAGTGCCCTAACAGAAAAAGCCCAGTCACCCTTGGTCCTCAGCTGAGACTGTGGCGTGGCTAACAGAGCCTCAGCCAAGGACCTCTGCAGAGACTGCAGCCTGGCAAATAAATGCTCCACTGGAATGTAACTCATGTGATTTCTGCTTATTAACCCTCTGGAGCCAACAGAGGCGCCGGTGCGGTCACATCACATGACCTATTTAAGACGATCCAGCAGCAAGATCATCTTCACTTGGGTCAAAAGTGCAGACTTTAAACCATATACTAGTTTTTAATCCTAACAGTGCAGTTATGTGGATTTTATCACAGTTTGATGCATAGAAGCCGTACGTGACAAAAAACCAGCCAACAAAACAATCGTGCTTATGTCGCCTATGCTGTGGACACATGTGGACACAAACTTTTCAGATGTTTTATAATGTGATACATGATAATGTATCATTACAAACTATGTAAAATGATACAAAAGCAAAACTTCTGAATCACATTGATTGTTATAGTTAAGATAATCTCAATAGATATTTGGGATTCAGGCATTTGTTTTAGTTTGACATTGCATAGCATCGTTTGCTAGCAATGCTAGGTGCTGCTCTCCCAAAGTGTGGGGTGGGATTAGGGTTAGAGTTGGCATATATGAGGACTTAGATCAAAGAGAGTTATTATCATGAATATCTCAGGATCAGGATTGTTAGGAACTCATTCCTAACTATGTTTGTCACTGAAGACAGCTGCTTGAAGCAAAGGCGCTAATTAGAGCGGTGACAGCTAGCTATAAAGGGAGCTGCAGGGAATAACACCAAAACACTGAGCTGAAAAAGGGGGAAAATTCATTGTAGAGAAACAGCATTGGGTGATAACTTACTTCATGTTCTTGAGTGCCAGGTTCAGTTGATTAAAGCAAAAGAAATTATTAGACATGGCTTAAATGAATGGGCTTGCTTTCTTACACAATTTAGAGAAAGATTAAAAACTAAAATAAAGAGGATCATAGTTCAACCTAGCGCTGGCCCCAGTGTGGCACAGAAAACACAGAACAGCCCATCTGCTAAATGCTTGATTAGACTAGGAGTGAAGAAACAAAACTCTGACAGAGACAACAACTTTGATATTATAATTGTTAGCATTTTAAAACGGATGCTTAACAGCACTGCCATTTCCAAATGGCTTCAGCATTTCCAGTAGGTTCCATATGCCATGTCTCCGAAAGCCTCTTTAATGAAACAATGTAAGGCAAATGAGTCATTATGATTCGCAGCACTCCCAAACACACTAATTACCACTCAGACTTGATAACAGTCTGTTTGTGTCTGTGTCTGCGTGTTACCAGCAGGTGCACCGCTATTCACTTGTGCGAGCTGAACATCACAGTCCCGAGTTTGACACCATTGTGTCAAAAACTCTGTGCTCAGCTCGTCAGCTCTGGTGCGCTGTGCCCAAACAAGCCAGCTAAAAATGAGCATTTGGGATCTGCTTTTTTTTTGTTGCTTCTTTCACTTTCTCTCTCTGTACCCAGAGCTGCCTCTGCGGCACAGATGCAGAATTAGTTATATACTGCATCATGTGTCTGTTCAGGATTGGTGTCATCCTACCCAAAAAAGGAAAAGAGAACAGAAATAAAAATAATAATAAAAAAAAAGGTATGTTTATAGGAGAGAGGGGGTTTGATATTTTAGACATATTTGCATAGGTTTGCAACAGTCGGGCTGATGTTGACGGATATCACATTTACCATGCGAG